CCCTGATCTGATTCAAAAACTGTCAGAGAAGAAACCAATTACCCTTGCCATAACTAATTGGATAACCCAAAGGCATGATGCTACAAGAAGGACTGCCCATGCGGTTACGCAGTTGATTCAGTAGAGTACACATAACTTTCCATCTCATGGGGCTAGACTAGCAGTGGTGTGTTAGGACCTGGACCTGTCCGAGTGGGCACCATCTGAGAAATATAGACAGAAATCCAACTCAAGTAAGAGCAAACATTTAAATGCAATATGTCATAACTGCTCCGGTGTGGGTCACCTAAGGCGAAGCTGCCCATCACCACACCAACATGTGTAGAGCCCACTTATATGAAAAACCATCTGACCTGATGCCATAATTATCTGTATTAGAAATGGGAAGCAGGAAATGCACATTCATATTCTGGTCCACGGAATAAAAATACGTGTCCTCCTAGACTCTTGTACCCGGAGAAATGTGCTGTCCCTGCGTGATTTCAACTAATTTCCTTCTGAATTCAGACCATCCATCCAACCATGGGTCGCACAAACATTACAGGCAACTGGGACAGTAAGGCTGCCTGTGCTGGGAGAGGTGGTTCTGCCGGTGCATATTGGGAGCATGTGGTGGATGTCAACTGTATCATTGCTGATACCGATGAGAGCACAGAGATCATCTTGGGCCATCCTTTCTGCTTAGACTATGGATGCAAAGAAACAACCCTGTTAGGGGAGAAGGTTCCCCAGTTGGGCTTTGACCTTGAAGTTGGCATACATGAAGTGAGGGTGGCCTGTACCACCGTGTTGGGGCCTGGACATAAGTATGTGGTGCTCGTTAAACACATCATCATGACAATGGAAGGACCTCCGGTAAGCAGCCCCACCATAAAATGTATCAACAGAAACAAGAAGAAGCAGGTGATCAGTAGGTGCTTCAGAGCTTGGAGGCTGGTCTGGCCCAACCCAGTAATAGCAGCTGGTCAGAGCCAATAGTAATGGTGAAAAAGAAAGATCAAAGCTCTAGAATGTGTAGAACACAGGGCCCTGACCGAACAAATGATTAAGGATGTTTAGCCACTGCGTCGGATCCAGGACACCCTCGATACCCTCTCCACTGCTAAGTTCTTCAGCACACTCGATCTGACATCTGGATAATGTCAAGTGGAGTTTAGACACCCCCGGCCAGAGGAGCCGCTACGTTCTGAACACGAAAAGAGCTTTTTGAATGGAACGTGATGCCCTTTGGACTGTGAAATGCTCCTGCCACATTCCTAAGGCTCATGGACGTGTCCTGGCAGGGTTGAGGTGGGACAACTGCTTGGTTTACCTTGACAACATCACAGTTCTAGGCCGAGACACAGGATAGATGTTGGAGCGACTGGAGCATGTGTTTGTCAGGCTGTGGGCAGCTAACCTCAAGCTCAAACCTTCCTGAATGCTGCCTGTTTTGAGAGCAAGTGTTTTTTTCTGGGCCACAGAGTTTCAGCTGAAGGTGTTGCCACTGACCCTCAGAAAATTCGGTGGGTACAAGAGTGGATGATTGGACTTATTAGATAAGTATAAGTCTCTCTCTGCAAACAATAATGTAAGCATGGAATTTGTTTCACTTAGAGATAAAACAGTTATTTTGACCTGATATTAAATTGAGTTTTGTTTCCTGAAATCTCCTTTCACTCCTTGCACCTGCAAAAAAAACAGAAAAATATTAATGAACTTGGTTTTTAATGAGGTAGTTGCGAATGTTTCTCAGCAAGCAAAAATGCTGTTAGTCATTTGTAGAAGCACATGCTAGCAACAGATTAAATCTGTCCAGAAAACAATAATGCTTTTTAAGGCTCCCCATAAATATATTTAGAAGAGTTAAAATGTTTCCTTAGTATTGGCATGATACAAATTAATCTTATTCCTCCTAATATTATTAGCTGTTTTGCTTTGCCACATGGTTAGACTCCACCAAAGCACATATCTGGCATAATCTTTAGGTTGAAGCGTCTCATTTTGGTGCAGCAGAAACAACTGAAAAAAATATTTCCAATAGACGAAGACAAGAGAGGGGCTGACTCTGAAATAATAATTAGAGCTCAGTTTTACATACAGATGCACAAGGGGAGCAGAGTGATGAAACACAAGTATCTCAAAAGCTTCTGTCTGAATTATCTTTTGTCTCACTAAAGCAGTAAAAGCGAGAAAACCGATTCGGCATTGAAGAGTTCAGTGAAAGCACTAATTAAAGGACCAACTCCTCTCTTTGCCTCCATTTTCTTTGCCTTTCAAACTTCACTTAATTTCAAAGGGGTGTACTATAATGGCCAAGGGCAACGGCGTACTCAGACATCAGATTTATTGAGACACGCTCAACAGTAAGGTAGGAACGAGCGCAAAACCACTTTTATCACCGTTAAGCTGTGCTTAGAAGCTTTCAGACTCTTCACTTTATTGAACAAAGACTCGATGCAGTTATTTATTTTATTTGCAGCTACAAACAAAGACACCTTGCCCACCATGAGCAGGAAAGAAGCACATACTGTTTGAAATTTCATATAACACACAATAAAGGACCATTACTTTGCAACTCACTTTATACCTTACACTTTCCTTTTAAATGATCCATTATTGTGCCAACTTATTGACTGATGAACAACATTACAGCTGCAGGGGGAAAAAACAGCTGTTAATGTTTTAGTACAGTAGCAAGAGAGTAAGCAGAGTTCAATGGCACACTGAAATATAGCCTTATCTCAAATAAAACAATAGTCTAAATTTTTTATTTATTTGAACATATTTGGAAAAAAAATTGGATTTTTCTTAATAAACAAAGTGGTTGATCTTCCTCATGGATAGATTGATCTGCATGTGTGGGCTGGTCTGAATTTCTGATGCCCCTACAACCTTCAGGAGCAATCCCTTTTGGTTAACAGGGTTATATACATTTTTGTTTCACTTGAAACAAACCCTAAAGAAAAGAGATATAGAAAACCACTAAAAAAGCATGATGATGTCACACAGTGAGGCAGTAAATACAATAAAACATACATATACAGGTGCTGGTCATAAAATTAGAATATCATGAAAAAGTAGATTGATTTCAGTAATTCCATTTAAAAAGTGAAACTTGTATATTATATTCATACATTACATACAAACTCATATATTTCAGATGTTTATTTTGTTTAATTTTGATGATTACAAATGACAACAAATGAAAATCTCAAATTCATCATATCAGAAAATTAGAATATTACTGAAGACCAATAAAAACAAAGGATTTATAGAAATGTTGGCCAACTGAAAAGTATGAACATGAAAAGTATGAGCATGTACAGCACTCAGTATTTAGTTGGGCCTCCTTTGGCCTGTATTACTGCAGCAATGCGGCGTGGCATGGAGTCGATCAGTCTGTGGCACTGCTCAGGTGTTATGATTGCCCAGGTTGCTCTAATAGTGGCTTTTAGCTCTTCTGAATTGTTGGGTCTGGTGTATTGCATCTTCTTCTTCACAATACCCCAAAGATTTTCTATGGGGTTAAGGTCAGGAGAGTTTGCTGGCCAACTAAGAACAGGGATACCATGGTCCTTCAACCAGGTACTGGTAGCTTTGGCACTGTGTGCAGGTGCCAAGTCCTGTTGGAAAATGAAATCTGCATCTCCAAAAAGTTGGTCAGCGGCAGGAAGCATGAAGTGCTCTAAAACTTCCTGGTATGTGGCTGCGTTGACCCTGGACCTCAGAAAACACAATGGACCAACACCAGCAGATGACATGGCACCCCAAACCATCACTGACTGTGGAAACTTTACACTGGACTTCAAGCAACGTGGATGAAGTGCCTCTCTTCTTTTCCTCCAGACTCTGGGACCTTGATTTCCAAAGGAAATGCAAAATTTACTTTCATCAGAGAACATGACTTTGGACCACTCACCAGCAGTCCAGTCCTGTTTCTCTTTAGCCCAGGCAAGACGCTTCTGACGCTGTCTGTGGTTCAAGAGTGGCTTGACACAAGGAATGCGACAGCAGAAACCCATGTCTTTCATACGTCTGTGTGTGGTGGTTCTTGAAGCACTCACTCCAGCTGCAGTCCACTCTTTGTGAATCTCCCCCACATTTTTGAAGGGGTTTTGTTTCACAATCCTCTCCAGGGTGCGGTTATCTCTCTTGCTTGTACACTTTTTTCGACCACATCTTTTCCTTCCCTTCGCCTCTCTATTAATGTGCTTGGACACTGAGCTCTGTGAACAGCCAGCCTCTTTAGCGATGACCTTTTGTGTCTTGCCCTCCTTGTGCAAGGTGTCGATGGTCGTCTTTTGGACAACTGTCAAGTCAGCAGTCTTCCCCATGATTGTGTAGCCTATAGAACTAGACTGAAAGACCATTTAAAGGCTTTTGCAGGTGGTTTGAGTTAATTAGCTGATTAGAGTGTGGCACCAGGGGCCATCAATTTTGAACCTTTTCACAATATTCTAATTTTCTGATATGATGAATTTGAGATTTTCATTTGTTGTCATTTGTAATCATCAAAATTAAACAAAATAAACATCTGAAATATATGAGTTTGTATGTAATGTATGAATATAATATACAAGTTTCACTTTTTAAATGGAATTACTGAAATCAATCTACTTTTTCATGATATTCTAATTTTATGACCAGCACCTGTACGTATCGCTTACCACTGTACCTCTAATTTAAAATAATTAATTTTGAGAAAGTAAAATAAAAAAGGAATAAAATATATTAAAAGAAATCGAGGAGAACAACAAAGTTACTCTCAAAACTTTTTTTTTTTTCAATTTAGAAGGTTAATTATTCGATTTTCTTTTTATTCAAATTTGCATTTAGGAAATGTTTTCTTTGCTTGCAACAACAATTGAAAATAGTTCACTCCATAATAACAAACCATAGACAGATTAATAAAAATCTGTTAAAGCCTAAAAATATATATGTGAAACATGGTTTTAAGATTTGTTTAAAGCTAAACCCCTCTTAATCCTTTAATTTTCTGCCCTCTCTTTTGTTCCCAGGTATGCCATAGCACGACTCAGTTACTACTTTGAAAGGAAAGAAGAATACTTTGGATTGTCACTGAGCCAGTTAACCAACTCAACCTCTAAATAAAGCCTTTAAAAGATCTGATCTGCATTTGAGTTTTTATTGACTCAATGTGGTACAAACTGTTGTTAAAATGTAAAGGCATGGAATCAGCCTATAAAATGCCCCCATTTGTTTGTTATTGCAGTCCATAGGGAGATTTAATGTGTTTTCCTATCACCGTGATTTATTGAATATTTATATTACCACAGTCAGTATGCCGATAAGCCTGTTTGGCAAATTGAGACAAAGCTCTTGCCAGAGAAGCATTAATTGTCCCCGCAGCCAAGTTGCATAAAGCCACAAAAACTGAGCCTGGTCATAAAAGCCATAAGAGGGTTATTTGCGGGCTTATAGAGCATGTACCACAGTTCTGATGGAAAACAAGTTTTCATGTCGGCTTATTCAAAGTTGGAAGTTATTTGGAAATGTTTTTGTTTCCTCAGAGCTGTAAAGCTGTTGTTGGTGGAAAACTTTTCCAGTGTTGGATATCATGAAATTTTAACTCTGAAAAATGGTGAAGTATTAAAGCTGCTAATTTAACAGAGGGCGAATAAATCCGAGCAAACCTAAGTTTGAAATTGTTGTAAATCTATATTGTATTGTAAATCACTTGACAACAAAAGCCATTTGAAATAGTTGCATTTTTCTCATATTTGTTTTTTACAACAACCACTTCAAGAAAAGAGAAGAAGAGTGGTTAGTTAATTTCTGTTTGCTAAGAAACTGGTATTCACACAAGGGAACTGTATCATTCAGGATTATATTGATGCTATAATTATAGTAATTTTTGTATGTTATAAAATGATTATCATTATATCTAGTGCCAGAAAAATAACCATGAAGATATGTTTTATTGTTATGCTGTTCTGACACTATCATTTACAGAGAATAGACACCAGAGCATATTAAAAGCCAAGATTTCAAACATTAACTAACTTCCAGACGTGCATCATATCATAGCTTTTTTTAACTGAATTTGTCTCATCCTCTGTGTATCAAAGAAACTATTGTACTTTATCCCAGGTAACTTTGAATAAAAGGCTTATTTGACTGTGCCAGATTCTGTGTGAAGCACTTGCATATCACTCAAAAGACTTTTGTATAACTTTTTTCCGGTTTTAGTTTTTGCATCTAATACAATGTGATTCTGTGATAATATTTTGATATCTGCATTTATTTCAACATTTTATAATGTGATTTTCATCCAGTGCAATTTAATAAACAAAACAGAAATATATTAAGTGAAAAAGAAGCATCATCATATTTCAACTTAGTAATCTGTTTTTTGCAAGCAAACTTGTTAATATTTGACCAAAGTACCCTCTAAAGGTTATTTATATATAAAAGATTTTATTTTGTTGACAGTTTCCGTCTGCTGATCCAATAGATTCAGGGTTTTCTGGACTCACCAATCATTTGGTTTGTTATTTTGAATTTCTCACTGTGATCTTGAAATTTTAATACAACTTCCTCTTTAGCTCTGTAGTACACACTTCATTCTCTTTAAGAAAAAGTTTATCTTTGATGAAGGTGTTCATATTTCCCCCAACATCAATAAACCCTTATTTGAAATAGGAAAAAAGTAACCATTCAGATCATGATGCTGCCATATTCTTTCAGATTGTTTTTTTATTTATTTTATTTCCCTGATGTAGATATTTTATATGTTGAGAAAATAACTTTTGTAAACCTACTTCTTGCAGCCTTTCTTCACAAATATCCTATGGCACAGAAATTCCTGCAGCTCTTTCACTGCTACTTTGGTATCCAGGAAGTAACATTGCTTTTGTTTTGTTTCTTTTATGATATTTGGAGAGATTTGCAGCATGTAAACCATAAATAAATAAGCAAATATCAAGGGCATCTTAAAAATTAACCTACCAAGGTAAATGTACTTTACTATTGTACAAATTGTATTCAAGCACATCAAGTAAAGTTACTTAATCAAAGGTTTAATTCAGTTCAAATTCAGGTCATTCATATATCACCAATTGACAATACAAAACCTCAAGATACTTTACCGAGACAGTTCAATCAGATTATCCTGTCAGACTGTTGAATGTTTTCTATCTAAGGAAAACCAGCTCATTACATCAAGTAATCCACGTGGATGAGCATGTGGTGATATATTGGCTCTACAACAATCCCTCACACTGAGTTTGCATGCAGTGACAGTGGAGAGAAAAAAATCCCTTTCAACAGAAAGAGACCTCCATCACAACCAGGCTCAGTGAGAGCGGCCTTCTGCCAATGATGACTAGGGGTTCACGGAGAGAGAAGCTGACACACAAGAGAAACATAGAAGTAGTAGTCTATAAATACTCTCTATGTTAGAAAAGGTAATGGTAAACTAGCATAATAGCGGGCTCTGTCTGAGAGGAACAACAATGAAGCAGGTGAGCTATAACTCACTTTGCATGTCAAAGGAATAAAGAAAGCACACATCCAGTTAATATCAGTACAATCTGAGCCCATAGATATGTCTAGGAGAGAAACAGGACTAAACACCAAAAAACAGGCCCAACTATATCATCTATAACCTAATGCAGACTTGCCATAAGTCGGCCCTCAAAGGCTACTGTCCTTCAGGTGTTAGAGGTGTCCCTGCTTCAGTACAGCTGGCTTCCACTGATAGCTCATTAACAGGCTGTTGTTGAACTGCAATTATCAGAATCACCTATGGTGATGCAGGGAAACCTCTAAAACCCACAGGACAGTGGCCCTTGAGGGCTGACTTTGGGCAGGTCTAATCTAAGGCGTTGATGGTGTAGGTACCAGGTCTGCTCTGGTGGTCAGATCTGCTGTTGCTGGTTCACCATAAACATACTCGATCAGGTAAAACTTCATCAGTCATTAGACATGCTACTGCTACGTTCAGACCGCACGCTGCTGAAGCAGCAGAAGCAGCTGGTTTACAAGTCAATGGTTGACGAGCATCAAAAGGTCCTGCAGCGCATCAAGAGCAGCTGGAGCAGTGCATCTTGATCCATCTGAGCAGCAGGAGCAGCGTTTCATGGGCTTCTGAGCATCTGACGCACATGACATGCTTCAAAAGCAGCAGCTGCTGGAGTTGCTGCTCGACATTCCACATCAACCAATCAGAGAAGCTGAATAAGAATAATAAGGAGAATAAGAATAATCCTAGATTTCTTTTTAATACAGTTGCCAAACTCACCCAGAGCCATAGCTCTGTTGAACCGTCCATTCCACCTGCTCTTAGCAGCAATGACTTTATGGGATTCTTTATAAATAAGATTGATCTTATTAAAAATAAGATCATAAGCACTCCTCTATCCGCGATTGTACCTGAGGTAGTCATGGAATCTGAACTGGGTTTAGACTGCTTTGATCCAGTTGAACTCTCTGAATTAGCAAAATTATTGTCTTCATCTAAGCCTTCAACTTGTATGTTAGATCCAGTTCCAACCAGGTTATTTAAGGAGGTATTCCCTTTGATCTCCTCCTCCATTTTAGATGTGATTAATCTATCTCTGTTACAGGGATATGTACCTAAAGCTTTTAAGGTTGCTGTAATTAAACCTCTGCTTAAGAAACCGTCTCTTGACCCAGATGACTTGGTCAATTATAGACCTATATCCAATCTTCCTTTCTTATCCAAAATTCTTGAGAAAGTAGTTGCCAAACAAGTTTGCGATCACTTCCACCATAATGAACTTTTTGAAGAGTTTCAGTCTGGCTTTAGAGCTCATCATAGCACTGAAACAGCTCTGGTGAAAGTCACTAATGATATTCTCATGGCCTCAGATAATGGACTTGTATCTGTGCTCGTCCTGTTGGATCTTAGTGCTGCATTTGATACAGTTGACCATAATATTCTTTTAGAAAGACTTGAATATTTTGTTGGAATTAAAGGAACAGCACTAGACTGGTTTAAATCTTATCTATCTGATCGAATTCAGTTTGTTCATGTTAATGATAGATCTTCAACACGCTCAAAGGTTACCTGTGGAGTACCACAGGGATCAGTGCTAGGACCAATTCTCTTTACTTTATACATGCTCCCAATTGGTAGAATTATTAGACAGCATGGGATTAATTTCCACTGTTATGCTGATGATACCCAGCTATATCTGTCTATAAATCCAGATGAAGCTAACCCATTACATAGATTACAGGCATGTCTTGAAGACATAAAAACCTGGATGACTCTTAACTTTCTGCTTCTGAATGCAGACAAAACAGAAGTTATAGTCTTTGGACCAGAGTCTCTGAAAAAGAAACTGATTAGCCAGTCACTTCATTTGGATGGGATTAAACTGATTTCAGATAATAAAGTAAAAAATCTTGGTGTTGTTTTTGATCAGGACCTGTCATTTAGGTCCCATATCAAGGAGGTTTCTAGAATTTCCTTCTTTCATCTGAGGAACATTGCAAAAATTAGAAATATCCTGTCCAGGGGTGATGCTGAGAAACTAGTCCATGCATTTGTTACTTCAAGGCTGGACTATTGTAATTCTTTACTATCAGGAAGTCCACAAACTGTAGTTAAAAGCCTTCAGCTGATCCAAAATGCTGCAGCCAGAGTTCTAATGAAAATTAAAAAGAGAGATCATATCTCGCCTATCCTGGCTTCTCTTCATTGGCTTCCTGTTAAATCAAGAATAGAATTTAAAATCCTCCTTCTCACATATAAAGCCTTAAATGGCCAAGCTCCATCTTATATCAGAGATCTGATTGTTCCTTATGTTCCTAACAGAGCACTTCGCTCTCAATCTGCAGGTTTACTAGTGGTTCCTAGAATTTCTAAAAGTAGAATGGGAGGCAGATCTTTTAGTTATCAGGCTCCTCTCCTGTGGAACCAACTACCAGTTTTAGTCCGTGAGGCAGACACCCTGTCTACTTTTAAGGCTAGGCTTAAAACTTTCCTTTTTGATAAAGCTTATAGTTAGAGTGGCTCAGGTTATCCTGAGCTATCTCTATAGTTATGCTGCTATAGGCTTAGACTTTTGGAGGACATAGGGACCCCCATTTCATCATTCTGCTTCATTCTCTCTCTGTTCTCCTATTCTGCAGAATCTGTTAGTTCA